AATTAGCATGCTCCATTATCATTATATCTCATTATATCTCTTCACTAAAGACCTCCATTGTTAGCATGAGCACCAAATACATCAATTTTCTTACCTTATCAGCATGGGTACCTCCAAGCACACAAAATATGTTTAGGTTCCCCAGAAGGGGTCCACACCCTAAATTTAAATATCAGCGTGATGCACACTAATACCCTGCAACTTACAATTGGCAACCCACTGAAGCTATGCAGGTGTGAGCCTGGTCAGTACCTGGATGGGAGACCTGGGAAAAAGGTTGCTGCTGGAAGAGGTGTTAGTGAGGCCAGCAGGGGGTGCTCACCCTGCAGTCCATGTGGGTCCTAATGCCCCAGTATAGTGACGGGGACACTATACTGTAAACAAGTGCCGTCTTACGGCTGAGACGTAAAACTACGGTCCTGACTCTCTGTGGTCATTAAAAATCCCAGGGTGTTTCTTGAAAAGAGTAGGGGTGTAACCCTGGTGTCCTGGCCAAATTTCCCATGCTTCCTAATAATCCCTCTCTATGAATTGGCTACATTACTTTGTTCTCCCCCCCCAACAGCAGGCGGAGCGACGTGTCGGTTGGAGTATTCTCGGTCGCATTTAATGGCAACGTCAGCTCAAAGATTAGGTTCAAACCGCCAAATGGAGACTGGTGTGCCGACAAGCGGACCCTGTTGATCCGGGATTAACGCTAGGATGAGAGAGCGTGATGCACATTAATAACCTACCAAATAGTTTGTTTTGTCACAAATCTTCCATGTTCCAGTGTTCCAAGGCTGATATTACATGTTTCAAAGCTTCAAATATCACACACTGTAGTTCTAGGGCATCAGCCTTTTAATACTTATTAGCTTTTAGTTTTCAAGGATTAGAATAATTTGCTCAAACTCAGCAATAAAATGTATGGTAGTGCTTGGCTGTTCACTGAAAGTTCTGCTTGAGTTATGGCACTGGAATTGCCTCTATGATTTACTGTGAAACATGGTACCTGATTCCAGCACCTGCTCTATTGAATGACAAAACTGAGTATCCAAGAGAAATCATTTGTAAACCAATTCAATCTTTTTGTAATGGAGGGTATATGAAGGACCCCTGCTGGAGACAGGAAATAAGATCTCAGCTGGACAGTTCTGCATAAGCTATTTGTGGTAAAATAAAATTTGAAAATAAGAAAAAATGAAGGTGAAACGTAAACGTTAATGGAGCCTTAAATATATTCTTTTACTCTCCTACCTTATTAAATTTATCAAAAGCACGTTTTATTTTGTTTACACTGTACTATAGGTGCAAATGTAGTTTATCCTGTGACAACAAAAGACTTTTGAAAATTCAAGGATGGTAATATTGAGACCATTTCCTGGAAGAATATCTAATATAGAGAATCTCTAACATAGATTTAAATTGAGTTTCTCTACATACAAAGTAAGACATATTTTTAAAATTATTAACAGTATTATAATTATTTAGTGAAATGTGTTTTTAATATTGAGTGAAGAACACTTTTTATTTTGTGTTATATATATTTACATAGCTCACCTGAGGTTTATCGTGAAATACAAGTTTCAGAGTAATATTCTGTACAGTAACACTTGGTGTGTTGTATTAAAGAAAAGAAAAAATCTAATAAGATTCCCTTTGTAAAAGAATGAACACTGTTTCCATGGGAACAGAATATTAACTGCTGCCCTTCAGCAAACAGGAAGTTTATGGATTTACAAAGGCTTGTGTGTTAGTAGTGTTTACGTACAAAACTCTAGGGTGTCAGTTGGTCATTGCAAAACGTACGAGTTATTAGGTTTTCTTTTGGTTCACTCTAATTCTTGTTTCTGTCTCGCCTTATCAAGCAATTGATAAAAATCTTTAGTCGCTGGCACCGATTAGATCTTTACTTTGACAGCAACAAATCCAGCAAATTATAGCTGTGCCTTTTGTAAAAGTAAGGTATAAGCCTTGGGTCATGGAGCTCCAGGAATATAGACCACACCTTGGTGAAGGTGAGGCCTGAGGCAATCCTCATCATCCAATTGTGCTCTTTCTTAAGGTTTTAAAATGCAAAACGTCCCAATAAACATACATGTATAATTTATTTTTCTGAAGTAATAGAAAAAGAAATGAAATTGCATAATCCAGGATGGTCTATACAACATCGCAGATGCATACAGTAAATGCTAAAAATTGATGGATTTGAAATTTTTTTTAAAGTATAGTAATTAATGGCCTTCTACTAAGAGACAAGTAGGCAAGTTATACAATACATACACCACTCATGCAGTTCTGGCATATATATCACATCAGGGGAAATTTTAATGCCTCAAGCTTTATTACCCCAGGCATGGTATACACTATATCCCCAGAACAGGGTAGTTTCCTTAGTTTTCCTTTTAATTAAGAAAAATCTATAATAATGCACATAATGAACAATTATATACTTCAAAATAAGCAATTTATTTTAAAATAAAAATAAGTAGACTTTTTATCGTCTGTAGATAAATACTTGCAATTCCTATTCCTATTCCTATTCCTGCTCTCCATTGAACAGGTGATAATCTCAGCTGCATTCAGAAGTCAGCCTACAGTAACAGTTGTAAAATGAAGCTATACAGTAGATCTAAAAAAATAACATGATTATTCATCAAAATTATTCATCCATTACTTGTTATATTGGAGTCTGGTGGATATCTGAGTTGATTACCCCATAGATCCACAAACTGTATCCTCTGTTGTATATCACTTTTCAATCAAAGTCTCCTTATAGAGCATTTTGGAGAGTGTGATGGGTAAGGAAAGTGTTTTACCATAAGGTTAGATTTGTGAGTGATTTTCATTTGTGACTAATTTTACTCCACTCTGGGTGCCCTATTTCCTCACATTTACCATGGCCTGAGAAAAAATGAGTAAACAGCTTGTCACACATCAATAAGAGAAGATTTCTAATTCAGAATGTGGCACAATACCATTTGGCAGAAGCCCCCACGGACTTCTCTGCCTTTCTAAAAATTGTCCTTAAAACCAAGTGACCTTTTTCTGAGAAAGATTGCCTCAGTTCATGCTGGTGGCACAATGACATCATTCAAAGAGCATTGAAGACAACCCAAACTGCTGTGTGAGACTGGCTTCTTCAGCCCACTGACTGCGGTGAACCTTAGTGACTGCACTGCAGTCATTACCGACAGGGCTATAAGCTTTCTTGCTTTCTTGGAAATTGCAGGATTAAAACAAACTCTTCTTGGTTTTCATTATAATACCATATAGCACACATTATATATTATACATGTATAAGCCTTGGATAACATTTAGTGAATTAAGACAGCTTTTTTGTAATTCTAAACAAATGCATGAGGAACTTATATTCTAGGTCTATGATATCCATAATATTAAAACTTTAACTGAAAAATCAATATAAGGATCTAAGGGTTAAGCCACTACTGTACATGCTGGTTGTGATGTCACCACATGTCTGAACGTGCACATTGACAAGGTTCTGAAATCTCCACAAGCACACTTTTTTTTCTGTTGCGTACAATGAGAGCAGAGACTCAGCTGGTTGTAAATCTTCTTTTTTCACTTTACCATGTTCATGACAGGAATAAACCGGACAAACCCAAACATGTGAGGTCCAACTAATAAGTCATGTACCTCTCATAAAAAAATAAGATGCCAAAGGAACCCATCTGTAGTTTTTTCTAGTAACAGCTTTGTTTAGTCAGTTGTCTACTTTGATTTGTAGGGGAATCATCTTCTGGCCTTAAATTAGTTACTGACAAAACTCCATACTTTGCTCACCTCGGTAAGTGTGCAAATAAATTGACCCTAAATCCTATAACTTTAGTACTGAGCCTGGAATCACTCAGGAAGAGATATATTGTTGCTGTCTTGAGATGAGCACAGGCTCAGAGTATATTGATTGGTGGAGGAAACTATGCATAGCTTTGTCATCAGCTCACAGTAAACATGCCCTAGTATGATGTTTTATGTTTTGTAGGAATTCATTGTGTTTTTGACCATGATAATCAGCAATTCACATAGGTATTAGGAGATGGGCAAGGCAATGCTCATTGGTGCCTTTGCAGTTCAAGGTTTGTCTGATGAATCAATAGATTTAGCAATAAAAAAACTGTACAGTATAACAAATATAACATGTACAGTATATCACCTATAGTTACTGTATTAATAGTTTTACTTAGTAAGATGTTTTAATCTTCTAAGTGTTTTATCATTTATTTTAAAGGAGTTAGAGAGAGGATCTTTGTCAGTATGCAACCTTCAATGGAAGAAATAGATCTTTATTTCACGGTGAAAAATGATTGGAAAATGCACACAAGGTTTAAGCTGCGGAACTTCTTCAGGTGTTTGAAACACCACAGAAGAAATGTTTCAATTATTTGTCATTATGATACAGTCATAAATGACAATATTGGAACGCTTTTAAAATAAAACAGTTCCACACAGACATTGCTGGAAGCAGTCTTTATCTGGATATGTTTAATAATGTCAACACATGATCAAAGTGTGTAAGAATGTACACTTCTAAGAGGCATTTTTTAAAACTCATACAGCCCAATACAACATCACAAGCACTGTTCCAGGGGAAAGTGGAAAATGTTTTGAAGTGCAAATATGAGCATTTATAAGAGCACTTTATTTTTAAGACTTTTTTAATTGTTAATGGTTTCATTTTCAATATAAGAAGGTAACCCTCTTAAAAGTGTGTTATTGAAATAATATGATTGTCTCCTTTTAGTTAAGCAAATTTCAATCTTTAAAAGTATGTTATTTAGTGGTTCACTTTTGCCAGATTTTGTAAGGGAAATCTAACATTTTAAGCTAGTTCAGCTTCTGTGTCTGTGTCAGTGTAATGTCCACATAGAAGAAATAAATCATGTATCCTCTTTTTAAAAATTATACCATGTTTTTAATCATTAAAAACATGATTACTTTTTTATCTACTGTCATTTCAAACTTTTTTTCTAAACAACCTTTTTTTATTTCTTCAGGTTAGCCTTTCAAATGAATCCAGCTGTGTGGAAGAAATTCTTCGGGTGAGAATGGTTTGCTTTCTTTCATCTGCACTAATTAAACATTGTAATAGCTAAGGACACACAGCCTCTTCTCTTTCCAAAAAAAAAGTTTCTAGGTAAAGTGGTACAAGCAAAACGTTACTGTTTGTTCCTGTGTAAAGAATTCTAGTCCCTGCAAAGACAAAGACTTAACATTCAATTCTATTTTTCTTTACATATAAAAAATCCCAAGAGGATCAAAAGAGACCAGAAGAGCACTGAAGGATGTTAGGCTTTTATCTGTTTGCCTAGAGGGATTCTTTTTTGGAAAAAGGAAAAATAAGTGTTCTTTTCATTTTCACCTTCCAAGGAAACAGAGTATCTGATTCCTCTGCTGTCTTGCTACTAGATAGATGGTATATTAATCCCTCCAGCTCAACACACAATGAGGGACCTGTGACATTTTCACCAGAGGGATATGTTTGACCCCCAGAGAGTCTCTAGTTTTTGGTGTCTAATATTTTGCTTAAGTTTACAAGTTGGCACCTTTCTTGATTGTATTTGTGTGCACAGACTGAGGCTGACGTGGGTGATTAAAATGAACATGTTCATGAGCTTTTATTCATGGCTTCGGATCTATTTTGTAACTGCACACCATGGTGAGTCTGTATGAGGGTGGCACTCGTGTCACAAATAGCTGCTGAACAGAGCTAGTTTATGGTCAGGGAGGATTTACATGAGGGGAATTTTAAAATGATAAAACAGACGTCATTTGAAGAGTAAGTAACGAGTTGCCTGACCTGGAGAATTATGTGAACCTGTCAAATATGGGAACCCGTCGGGAAGAAGATGATGTCAAATTATGGTTACCAGGCAACCCAGTGTTTAGCTGTCAAAAAGAATGAATTAGAGAGGCCACTTTTAAATAGCTGAGTAAATAACTGAATCCTTGCCTGCCTGTAGGTGCATTATATAAGGATGTGAGAGGCTTATGGCTCCTGCTTCATAAAATGGCATGAACCTTCACCCTGAACAGATCAGCAAGGGCCATTGCATCACTCTGAATTGATGTCTTAAAAAAGAGAATGGTTATACATTAGTAATTACATTTGCGTTTCAAATTCTACCATTACAGTATATCTCTCATATGCATTAAGCAATATTTGTGTCTGGAGTCCTTCAGCAATACAGAGAGACTAGAATATGTGTTATTGGGGAATAATTACAAGAACCACCATTTCATTATGTTGTGTTATTTGTAAGTGATTCATTCAATGCCTTTTCTCAGTTGAAGTTTCAGGTGTTTTGTCTTACTGACCTGTGCTGATCATAATACCTGACATTCAGTGATGAGGAACACATTTCACAGTTACACCTTCTGTACACAATAATAATTTTAGCTATGAAAATATGTATATCTATTAAAAACTATATGTGGTTTATATATTTGGTGACTTCCAGATTCAGTCAAAGGACTTTTATCAGACCTCGGGGGCAATTGACTTTCAGACAGTGTTCAAGTTGTGCTGTTCCTGCTTCTTTGGCACACATGCACTCCCGTTGTTGTCCAAGGACCATGTGCATCTTTCCTATTAAGTATTTAACAGTTCTCACTGTTAGCTGGAAGAGACTACAATATTTACAATATGACTTCTCCCTTATACAACTAGCAGGGCTCCCTTATACAAATCCCTTACATCTAGCTGGTTGGGTAAATTCCCCATCTACACATACTTACTAAAATATCAATCACAACAAAAAACTGTGCCCTCTTGTGGTCACCTATGTGTAGCTGCATCAGTTACATTTCTTCCGCCACTGCTCAGCGCCTCTGCAACAGTGTATACAGTTTCCATCAAACAGTGGCAAGATTCATGCAATGGAAACTTAGAAATTTCACACAAACAAATTGGGAGAAATCTGTTAAACAGGGTTGTTTTGTGTGTGGATGAAAAAGAAACAGGTTTACATGATATTAAAATTTATTTACATTATATTTTTAATAAAACACAAAAAAAGAAAAAGACAGAAGTATTAGTTGAGGCACCTTTAACGATATTATTTATAATACAATTGAATTTTTTTATTATTTTTTTTTATAATTCATCTGCTTGTTCTTGGTAAAAAAAGTATTCTTTTTCTCAGACCACGGGAGCACTGTCACAGTACCAAGAGTTGAATTCTTCTTGGTGATAGAAACCGATATTCTGTTGCTCAGAAATCTTGTACATTCTACAGTTTAGAATGATACATTTCTGCCTTTTGACACTATGACTTATGGGAATAGAGATTTCGTGACAGAAAACATCCTATTCCTGATCCTTAAGAATCTTGTACTTGTACATACCATGTATACCATAAACAAGAGGGAATACTGTATCTGTCACAGTGAAGCCACATCAGATTGTCAAATGTATAATTATGTGATTGTGTGCCTTAATGTGTTTGTTTTATGGTAGACAGATGTGGGGTGATTTGTTATATTTCCCTCCAATGTTAACAGTGAGCAGGACTCCTGTACATGTGACTAATTTTTGCACTCTCCTTGTACCCATTATATGTTTCTAGCCAGAATTTAAATGTTATCAGCTCACAGAGGCAATAGAGAGGTGTAAATATGTGAATCATGTCTATATTATGGCAGGATAAGTAATCTGGTTTGTTAATTATCCTGTTTGTTCATTTATTATGTATGCTGAATCTTCTTAGTTACATATGAGACACATTTGTACGTGGTTCGACTTTGTGATCAGATTTGGAAGAGTGAGCTGTTGGTTAAAGCTCAGTGAAGAAGCTGCAGTTAACCATGTCACTCAAAGTTACAATATTGTAACTGAAGGCTAGTCAGTATTGTATCTCCAAGAACTGTGCTTGCTAAAACTCACTGAACTTACTGCCTCTGAAGTTTGTCATACAGTATGTGAACTTCTGACTGCTTAAGACCGTTTTCCTCAGTATTCTAAGAGTAAATAAGAAAAAAGAAATATCCAGGTTCTTCATTTTAGATGGTGAGATTTCATTTTTGGAGTATTGCATTTATATCAATTGCTTTCATTAAAAAAAAAAAATCAGCAAGTTTATCAGCATGTTATATTTTGTTTTTATGTCATGTCTTCCCTAAGAAAGTACATGTGTTTAGCTCCTCTTGCATTTCATATACATTTTTTTCACAATAAATATAATATATAAAAGTAAAAAAAAAATCGTATCCTTGTGTAGTATTTGATATGTTTAAGTGACTATGTGAAGTGTTTTGATTAATCAGATTGGAGGCTGAAGGATGTGAACTTTGAAGTAGAATCTAGGTTGACAGATTTATTCTGGATTCTTCCTTTGCATTAGCTGGTTTCTCCTTCAGAATCTTTCAATTTCTCTCTTTTCCCCATTACCATTCACTTTGCAGGAATTCACACTACATGATAGTGGAGAGGCTTTTTGGCTTTAGAAACATGTCACATATGTATAATTAGCCTTCAGATCCCACTGCGTTGATTTATGACAGCCAGATAAATGCCACTGTGGGTAGCTCACAAATCCCTGACTGGAGCGGCAAGCTTTTACAGAATAGAGGACTGAGAAACAGAGCTGTCCTCTCCTACTCATCCCCACCCAACCCCAAGCCAAGTCCCAAGAAAAGAGAAAAGGCAGACTGTCGGGAGCCTATTGCAGGAAACAATAGAGACTGCTACTGGGGATTAGAGCTGAAAAGCAATATATATATACATATAGATTTATTTTATACTGTATATATATATAAGAAATGGCCGGCTATTATCAATCCTATTAAAGGATGAAGGTCTCTTCAATGAGGGAATTACCCATGACTCATCATGCTGGTCATGTGAATTGGAGTACTGGTGGGAAATGGGACTTCATACTGTTCTGTTACTAGCACTGTGCTTTGCCACGTGAAATATCCACATTTACACTGTATTTATACACTCAGGGGTATGCTCATGTAATGATATATTATTTACCTATACTGTTTATTTACCCAGTATTCTTGTATCAGGGAAAGTCACAATATTATTATTTTTTTCTTATTTACAGGTATAAGCATGTTTATTGAAGATTTGCAATGTATGAGTTATTGAGTTATGTGAGCACACTATACAGGCTTACACACCTTCAATAAATACAGTTTTTGTGAGGAAAATAGATTGTGATCATTTAGTAATTTTTCAAGAATTCCGTAGATACCCAGGCTTAAAAGCTATCACAACAACAGTCACAGCCTGGCCCGTCAGTATATTTTTTATATTTGCCACACTCCATTAGTGTGGAGGATGTTCCCAAAATTTGCCACAAATAAACACAATTAAGTTAAGTTAAAGTTTGGTTGTGTACATATATGCTCTAAATTCACTATGTCAGTTTGAGTATTGAGCTTAAAAGGTATACATTAAGTTTAAATGTTGCTAGCATCTTTAAAAAAGAATATACAAATAAGAAAAAATGTTTAAACAGTCCTAATGTACATTCCTTTTTATCTTCTAAAACAATTTGAAACTGCAAATGGAAACCCATAGTTCAGTTAGTTTTTTTCTGTCTTTAACATCAAACAATTTCTGGGAATAGCACAGTGCTACCAAGTGTCCATATAAATTATACAAATTGTACGGAGAATTGTAAAGAGTAAAGCCATTAATCAACACATGAGGTGAGGCTTTGTTAGCTTAGTGGTAAAAAGACAAAAGAACTATTCAGACACCGTCTCTCTACTAGCATGAACATGAATAATAACAGGTACTTCTTACTGCTTGATGAAGCCTTCTATAATAAATAGCACTGTAGTGGCCGATGAGAAAATGAGCACTGGGTGGTCTTCCCAAACTTGAATTTGACCCTCCATTTTATATACTTAATAAAATTCAGTTTACTGCCCTTATTATAATGATCACAGAGTTACTTGAGGATTTTGAGGAGATAGCATCTCCTATCTTGAGGAGATAGCATCTCCTTCTTGGTGGTTGCTCTAGACTTTAGCTAAATTTTATTTGATAACAATAGCTTGAATTTATTCTTTAAATTTCTCACACCTGAACAACAAGTTAAATAAATATGTGCAAAGAATCCAAATGCATTTTTAAGTATGTAAGAATAAACGTTTTGATTATTATAATGTCCTCACTGCCAGAACATCTGTGCATATTAGAAAATAGGACTCATGGACTGGCAATTTCAGATACAGTGGCAAACCATGAGCTTACAAATTTGTAAGGGAAGATGATAATTGCTAACTACTAGTTGAAGACTCTCATATTATAAAGAAATGTGCAGAGAGAAGAATTGTCTAAAATAATGCATTTTTTAGTCATTTTCTTAGTTGGTGTTGATACTGTATAGTATACAGAAAAACAGATTCATCATGAAATGGTACACCATTTAGCAAAATATGTAGGCAGATAAGAAAAAATACTGCATTTAATATACTGGTATAACATCATAGTAGTGTTGCATGTATCAAAAGCATAGTGCTCACACTGCTGCTTATCCAGCTTTCATTATCCAGGGTGACCCAAGTGTTAAAGTTGTGTAAAGGATTCATTTTCTCAGGCTTGTGCCCTCACCACTCCCGCCCCAGTTCGCCCCTCCACCGCATGGGCTTGAACCCAGGAGTCGGTCAACAGGGGTCTTGCCGGCTGAGCTAAAGAAGACCTTCTTCAGCCCGGGCAGCCAAGATCCCTGTTGTGCACAGGGGCGTATTCGTTACAGTTGTTATCAAGAATAAAAAGGATAACATGACATCTCTGAAGAAACAGGTTTTATCAACCAGGTGTACTGTCAGAATGTTTCACTGTACTATTCAGTGGTAGCTTTTGGGTTTCCCAGAGAATTTAAATCTTCTTATCTGTGAAGCAATAAAATGTGTACTTTATATTATTTCAATCAGCATTAACATGCTTTATGCTTACCATTGTACTTTAAATAATAAGTACTGTATATCATCCTGTTTCTTCCATATTTTCTTTGGCAAGATGCTTACTTAAAATTTAACTAACTTTTTCTTCTGATATTTTTGCATAACAGGAATTATTTATATATATATTACAAGATGTCTATTTTTGTTAAATGATTTTACTCCACATCAGGAAGAAATAGGCAATCCATGTTACCACAATTCAAGTAATATCTTTCGACAATTTTAAGTGTCAATTTAGCTATTTTATTACTATTTACTACGGACAAATAGTGTGTTTAAACCATTAAAGGAGAATAAAAACTTTTTCTTTAAGTCTTTTTTTTATTTTCATCATTAATGCTGTTAATATATAATGTTCTCAAAGTGTGTAACTGAGATTTTGTACTATTAATATAACCCTTGTTTTTTAATTACAATATTGTTGTCATTAGCATTTAAAAGAAAGTCCAATATTTGATGGCCAGTAGTCCTTATATTTAACAAAACCTTATTTTTTTTGGAAACAAAATATACTGTTGATTCAATTTAAACTGACATAACTTGGTACTAGTACTATAAGTACTTGGTTGTACTAGGTAATGTTATTTAGGTATCATCCACTGTGATTAGTCCTAGAAATGTCTATTTAACATATTGCATTATGTTTTAGAATTGTTCATGTCCTCCTTTTTTTTCCTTTTAATTTTGGCTCTGTGTGGATCAGTGACCTAATCCACACATTATGTAGATGAACAATATGTAAAATACACAGGATTTATATTTCCAAGGATTTTGTTTCTGGGGTATTTCTGGCTGACAATATTTTAGTTTTACAACAATTATTTTAGTCTTAAATTAGGCATCCCTTCTTCGTTTCATCTTTGAAAAGTGTGGAAACTGAGTAAAGGCATCCATATTCTTGGGTTTTACAATATTTGTTACATATTCTCTGGTTTTATTATTTTTTGTATGCATTTTTACCACAATTTATGTAATTTAAATAAGACTCTGGTTGTTGCTAATATTGTGATTCCTACCAGTAGATAACACAGCTTGACTCTGCCTTTCTGCAGCCACATCCCTTCTGTCACTTGGGAAGGATCATAGATTCAGAGGCAACGGCAAGATTGCTGTAGCTTTCATCATTCCTGGATTGCCAGCATGCAGCAACAGTGGCTGCACATTTCAGTAGACCAGCACCCTGTTGCAACTGGCTTCCGTAAAGTTCTTTGAGCTGACGTTAAGCAGAAAGATAATTGTCTGTGGCAAATACCTTTCAGTTTGAATGCTGAATAATCTATGGACTACAATGATATCATCTTAATGTTGGTTATTATGTAGTTATAATTTACTCTGGTTGAACTAGCAATTTCTGCAGGAAATGCAATTAAGTTTTCCCAGCACCTGAATGCTGTGAGGTCAAGAGGTAATACTAACAGACTTGTTACTTTCAGAGAATAGCAGTCCTCATCTGCAGGTTGTGATAGATTGCAGTGGAGCAGGTTTCAGGCAGTTACACCAGCAGTTCAACTGAGAACTGATTTGTTATAATGGGTTCATTTTATCGAGAATATGTTAGAGCACTTTTTGTAGTTATTGCCAGTATACACTAGCACATACAGAGTACAGTACTTTATACCCACATTTATTGTACAGAATTATTTAGCCTGTACTGTATGTTAAATAATAAGAAAAAATGTTTAATCATTCCTTCACACATGTTCCCTTAAATAAACCTGCATCAATAAATTATGCAGTTTGCATTCTCATTAAAAGAGAGAAAATAAATATACAGTACTATTTAGAAAGGGTGATGAATAAAATACATGCAAAATGAATTAACTGGAATGTATGAAGTGCATGGGATATGTAAGGACTACTTTGGCTGTCTTGTGAATCAAAACAAACATGTAGTGAAAACTGAAATCTTTTGTGAGGTTTTCTAGATTACATTTGATCAGCCCCAGGCTATCAACAGCAGAATACTGCAGACACCCACACATGTCTAATATAGCATGGAATATCTCACCTCTGAACAAACCTCTACAGGCAAAGCTCATATATTGCTCTGTCACCAAGGCATAATGATCTTTTTGAAGTTTGGAACTTGTGAAACATTAAAGGGGGTAGATTTTAGGGGAGATAGAAAAAAATAAATAAATATACACCAATTAAATGCGAGGTTAAGGAGCCCATTATGCTTTAGTTTCTGTCTCTGCCATTAATATGTATGAGCCTTCTGCGGCCTGAGCTGCAGTAATTATGATAGAACTGTTTGCCATCCTTGACTCATATGAATATATTTCAGCATTAATGGTGCTCCAGCACATGCAGGGCAAACCAAGCAGCGCATTAAGATGGAGACTAGTGTGTACTGTTAAATGAAGGTGACGTATCATTTTCCTCTCTCAGGAGATGACCCATTCCTGGCCTCCTCCCTTGACTGCCATTCACACACCAGGCAAAGCGGATCAGACCAAGTTTCCTATCCCATCCAAGGTAAGCAAACAAGTTTCAAAGTTCACTCTTCAGACATGAGGACACATGATAAGTTTAATGTCTTTAAGAAGAAAAATCTTTCACAACTCCAAAGAAAGATTACCCAAAGCACAGTGCTTATGTTTTCTTTCAGAGTGTACACATTAAAATAGAAGACTCAAGCACACAGTAATAAGCCATAGACAACAAAGTAAAAAGTTAAATTATTATTAATTTACTTTGTAAAATGCTGTAATTAATCATTTTTTCTGTAAAATATCTTTATTGATAAACTTTATTAGAACAGTTCCTTTTGTATCTAGCAAGATATTGTAATTATTATCCTTGATGGACACATTTATATGTGCAGCAAATTGTTATGTCCTCCAGTAAGGTATTTCTTACTAAGTGTGATCAGATATAGTTATAGACACATTACACATAGCTATTACCAAATCTTATAGTATGCACCTTTTAAAAAAACTGTACTGCTACTGTAAACATTTGTCTGCATCCGTGTCAGCTTGCAGTATAGTATAGATTGAAGTACAGTAAAAGTATAGATTGTGTGCTTAGGAAGAACTGTTATCCAGCAGTTTGCTCAGTAATACTTGTTTAATATACCAAATATTGGAAGACTGTAAATTTAATTAAATGAAGTTATCCATTAAGACATTAATTTGCCATACCTGCTTATACAATATCGCTGTGATCGATACACTGGAACCTCACTAGCTTCAGTTATATTGTAGGTAATGGGATTATAAAACATTGTGAATTTTGGTATTATCACATTTTAAGGTCTATAAAGTCAGCAGAAGGAGAATGTACTGCATTAAGCAACAATCCAGTTATTGCTGATTATGGTATGTGATCTCTCTAAGGCTTGAATGAATTTTTAAATTGTACTTTTGATCTGTACTGTATTTCTGTAATAAGCCACAGAAATGGGACTCATCTTTGGTCAGCTAATCCAACTTTGTTGCCATCATTCTTAGGTAACAATAAAATAATGTAGCATTATGATTAAGATATCCATGGATATACATTACAAGGTTCCTAGCCATCAAATTGTTTTTTACGCAATCAGCATCCCTGAAGTTGCACATGATAAGTCCTGAATTCACTTTTATTGTATTCACCAATGTTACATGAAGACACAATTAACTCCCCTCAGGGGGAAAAAAGAGAAAAGTATCATCAGTGATATAAGTCACTGGAGTGCTTGCCTGTCAGATTTTTAGATCCTTGAAATAAACTGAAACATACAGATGTTCCCAGTAGAACAAAACAGGCAGTATCCTCAAAACTAAAGAAGTGAACAAAGAGAACATAGTCATCAGAAAAATTGTACTTTCAAAGAACACATCAAGTTACTTTCCTATCTATACTGAAGTTGGTGAGTGGAAGGGAATTTTATCAGCTACTCGGCGTCTTACTTGTAACATATCTCCTCTTAATAAGCACAACTTTCAATTGAGTGCCAAGATCCTCTTGAAAACACAATGTTTGTATTTTAGCGTATACTGTATTACAGTGAAAAAGTGTAGTCCTCAATACACTCACCCTTCATTATTAGCAGATGCTGTGTCTGAAGCCCAGTGGAGACTTTCTGGGCAGAATTTAGCACCCCTGTCCTCACACCTCACACTATGCTTCTGAAGAAGAGTATGCTCCCCCATGGGGCACTGCACTTGATGTGGTCCATCTACAGTGAGGATATATGAAATTATTGCTACAGCAAAGAATTAGCTGTAAGGTTTCATTGTAGTAACTATCATGTAGACAGCATTCAGTGACAGAAACTGAGCTCACTATTAACTTATTTTTGTAAGTATGAAATTAGAGTAGTGAATGAAACACTTTTGCAATATTATAAGTAATCTACCCATTTAGGGCAAAAACAACAAGAGTAATATGATTATTTTGAACACTGATGAAAAGAAAGATACTGGAGATTATAAGTATTATATTGAAAAATAATTATGGTTGAAAGTGATGAATATAGAAGACAATTTGCTGTACTTTCTTTTTTAACTCTTGCAAAATGTATAATTTAAAGAAGCAAGTAATAGAAAATAGAAGCAGAATTTTTTTTTTACAAATTATAGTGTATTGATGTTTTTCCAATGCTATAAAATCCATTTGCGTTTGGTCACAATGCAGTGGCAGCTAGAATTGACTTGGAAAGCTGTGGAGTGGAGCCAGAACTAGGTCCAGAATTATCTCACAGATTATAACTGGATGTTGTTTTTGTTCAAATTGTTTCTATTCTACTATCCTTTTATATTGTGCTCTCAGTGAATATGGGACACTCTGGATTTGTGTTTGCCATGAGAAAGTATTCTGGGAAATTGCAGTTGAGTCAAAAGATGTATGTTTGAAAAAAAATCTAAAATGCATAACCTTGGACTTTTCCAAATGTCCAAAAACAGGACAATAAATCAATGATAAAATGTAATTTTCTACCACATACGTTTGTGTGTGTTTATAGCAGTGCTTAACGTTTGTCACACTGACTGTTTATCTGCCAGATCCCCCCCACCCAGCAAACAATGATCAGGAAAATTTTTATTGTGTTTCATTGTATAATCTGTGGGAAATTAGCATGTTCGGGGAGTTATGTGAAAACATAATTTAATTTGCTCCCCTGGCACATGCCTATTTTTATGTCAGAGTTAAGATAATACTGTAAATATTATTTTAAAATGAAAAAAAAATCTACAAAGGTGGACTGTTTGGTCTAGTAGAATGTTTGAGTGGAGGTTTAAAAAGCATCTGGAAACAATAGGATTATGCTTTGATAATACCAACACAATTTGACTGTTTTCTTGGGAGTAGTTCATAGTAGTTTGTAGCACACTAAGAAGTAATAAGTCAGTGGTTGTAGTGAAAACTGTTATCTTGGTATTTTCAAAATGATCACACTCACCTCCACTGGAAATGCTGAATGTAAGCAGTAGAAATTTGCAGCACAAGGCTGCCTGACAGAGGTAAGGCTTAACATTTCCATATCTTACAGTCCATCACTGTGCTGTCCTGCTGTTCATAGCCCATGTGTCTGGGGCCTAGTCTCCTTTTACCACTTGTGATTTTCTTCTTATATCACCCAGTTTTCTCATTTGTGTCTTAATGGTACATGGCCAGAATCCCTTAACCTGATCTTACTGACAATTTTGAGAGCAGGGTCAATAAGTCCTTAGTTAATGGTGCCATCATTTAAATGAGCTGTTTCCTCTTCTGCCTACACAGACTGACACGTGATTTGTGTGTTCTAATTCTTTTAATATAAATTAAGTCTCCAAGCAAAACCACATCCTACATATTTGTCTTCACTACAATTTCCTCAAAGTGCACTATATTCTCTTTTTTTTTTTCCAGGACTCCCAACATTTAACCTCAGGATACAATGGACAAAGTAGGTCTTCCTTTGTTGTTGTAATCTACATGCCAACTTAATCCTTCTGAAATGTAATTAAATCTAGGAATGAAATATTAATTATATGGTGCAACAGAGGAACATTGTTAATTTTCATTAAAACGTTATGCTATATGACATGTTGTTAGTAAAGTTAAATTGATAGCTTGACGGCTTTTGGACAACGTTTAATCAAAACAGTGCTCTGACATTTAAATGTAAATTCCTTTACAGAACGGTGCAATGTTCCCAGTAACAAGCCTGCAACCAAGTCTGTGCCACAGAAGTCGTGAGTATTCATTTGATTAATTATTTTAAACCCCCCAGGGACCTGCTGTCATATTTTTTTCTTTGTTCCACTGAAAAACAGGTCCCTTAGAGCAAGACTACAAAATTCTGAACAGATCTGGACCACTAACTTAAGAAACAAAAATATATTAAGAATTTCCTCCTTAACTATCTGTGTATTTATTTGGACAAAATTGTTAAAACATTAATAAGTATGGTAGTTTTTAAAGTCATATTCAGATTATTTAATAATATTTTATACTTGTTCTTCTTGTGATTTCTGGCAAGTAGGATTTGTTTGCTCATAAAGTGTGTGTTCCATATTAAGCATTAATATAGCATTGTAATATTCAATGCTAAATATTTTTGGTTAATTCATTTGTGGTGGGAGTGCACAATGAACAGAGTCCAAGCAATATGTGTCAATTTATAAATCTAAGTAAATTTGGTGCAACTGAGGATAAAGTTGTCTAGGATTGCTGAATGCATTGACTGTGGGTCAAGCAGGTTCTTCTGCTGTGAACTTTGGTACTGCCAAATAAGCACAGCTGAACAGTAGTGTTAGGTACATATTATACAGAGCAGCTAGCCTGAAAGTATAACATACTATGTGTGCATTGTACAGCAATAAATGGAATCGGTCTTGTCCAGTTAAACAGATATTATTATTTAATCTACAGAACTGAGTGGTTGCACACATTTGATTATTTAGTATGTCATGGCAGTTAGAAAACAAATGTAAATGACTGAATGAAGAAGAAGTATAGAAATGTTTATGAAATGTAAAGGGCCATTTTTGTTTTTAAAGGTATCTAATGTGTGCCTTATAAATAAATCATTTCTAATGTTGCTGCCATCATAATACACATTGCACTTGAAGTGTGCAGACATTATATTGCCTGACCAGTGCTCCAATGTCAAAACGTATAATTAAATGCTAACAATTTCATTTTAAATGCCTCAAGTGATGTTTGTCAGGTATTTCTGTAGATTGATTGGGCTGTTCTTTAGTTAAAATGATCTAGACATAAGTTCAAAGAATATCCAAGCCACATTTTCAACAGTACAAACAAATCTTGTATGAGGTGGCATTCTTGTCCACATTCCATTGCAGAATGAAACAAGTTGACAGTATCATGAGAGATCCTTATTTTTAAGAGAGAGTTAAAATACATATGTTTAAATATACATACATAAAATGGATACCTAGTTTTTATTTGCATAGTGATTACAATTATAAACACTCACCTTGTATCTTTTTATTTAAAGGACACATATGTTTGAGAAAGAAAAAGCTTTAAAAGGATCTGTAAAAAATGCTGTTTTTAGACTAAATGTATATAATGTATTCTACCCATAACATCTGCAGTTGTCCATTAATATGCATTTGCAAAACATTGATTTGGAATTTACCACTACAGAGAGTAATTAAACTGCACAGTGCTGTTTGCCTGCACTATCACTTTATTGTAGCTGATGATTATGATCACTGTAATATACACTGTAAAAGCCATTAGTCACAACCAAACATCACTATTGCTACAGTTACTGTGCAACAATGTGAGCAGTAATATAGTTTAACACGAAGTCATCTAGGTTGGATTTGGATCTATTTTTATGATATAGAAGACATTTACGCAATGAGATGTATAATGCAAAAAATATACTGAGAAGTTACAATATATACAGCATATACAAGTAAGAGTGCAATGCTATGTGTCATTTATTCTGGACATGCCGTCTGTCTAAAGAATATTATACCATGTGTTACAATGTACTCAAATCACATAAGAAATTATTTGTACATGAATTATTGGTTGATTATGGTGAACAAACTGTTTAAGCTTTTCTATAAGGATGAATATATTTTGAGGCTACAGGGTTGGCCATAACAAAAAAGGCATGATCCAGGTGGATCAACAGTGACTGACATGCCCATCACAGTCTGATGGGGAACCTTTCTGGGATGATCTGGGATGACAATGAACAGGCCCATGCTAGTCCAGGATGTACAAGAGGAATGGGACAGAATTCCACAAGACAGCATCTGGATCCTGGTGTAAAAGCTAAATTGCAGATAATGTACACATGATTTATTGCACTGCTAGTTATGGCTGTCCTGATGACCTGCTGATGACAAATGTTAATCAATATAATGTGTTTGTCTACTGCGTGTTTAGTCTATTTGATAAAATGTCAGTGCAGTTACTACAAAAGTATTATTTTCCTGATAATAACCTTGTGAATTTGTTACATTTATAAGTAATAAGGTTTTTGGTGCTGGTGTATATGTATGTATAAAATGTCTACTTGTCAAGGGAAAAGAGAGGTTGCTTTGTGACTACAGTATCTCAAGAAAACAAATCAGCCTCAGCCCTTAATGATGCCTTGCGTTTCCATCCCAGCACAGACTCAAAGCTAAAGAGGAACTGTGTCTGACAACCTCTCATGACCTTTCACACTGGATTAAAATTCCAAGTGCTGCTATGGTAACAGAACCTTGAAAATAAGATCTTTGTAGAAAGCAAAGGGAACTTTATTTTGTGTGATGAATAACTGTTAATTTAAATTTCATATACAGTATGTAGAAAATTATTGGAAAAAGCAATCCTCTCTATTTCAAACAATAGAAAACATAATATCCTTTATGTTCTATTTTTAAAACAGTCTATCCACTATTGTTCTAGTTTTTAATAAATTATTACTTTAGAAATCGTACAATGAATTGCATTGCATTGCATTGAATTGAAAAATCATGTATACAGCCAATTTAATGGAGTGTAATGGTGACTGATAGCTCATTATGGATGAAACCAATTCTAAACCCTTATGTGCATACTGAGTTTATGCCTAAACCTGATGTCTCACAATGGCCTGAGCAAGGCCAAAGTAGGTCCGTTTCATCTCAAACTGGCTCCGCCGCAAAAGCACCCAAGCAAACAAGTGCAGTCTATTTACAATGCTCCCAGTCTCCCACACCAGAAAACAAAACTAATTATTCAAATAAAGGAAAATCTCTCT